GAGACAGCAGGAACAGGCAGATGTTTCCACTGCCCACGGGAGCCTAGAATCAGCTCATCAAAGTGTGAGGGCATTAAAATGTACCACACTGGGTACGACTGCCTCAAATATTTCTTTCCAAAATTGGTCAAACACTTTCTGCGAGTGTGGCCATCTCGTCTTTTAAGGGTGCGTCCCACACGGCGCTGCCTCCGTCGGCCGCTGACACGTGGAGAGGAGCCACCGAGAGAATCTGCTCTGATAAACATGCAAGTGCCAAACTGGAATTTAAAAAGCTAATCAGCAAGAGACAGGCATTCGCACTAAATCCCACTCTTCTTGATGGCATGCAAATAGTGGAAAATTTAATCAGCCTTTTTTAACCCCTCCTGATTTCACCCTCAGTTGTCAAGGCAACAGTAATCTCAAAAGCTGTCTGGCGAGTCCAATTTCTCGACGCTGATCGGGACTTCTTCGAAATTGGCTGACGTGTGAAACAGCGCATGGGTGTGACCAAAATCACAACTGAAACGTTTTCCTGCTAACGAGCTGTTCTGTTACTGTCCAAGTACAGTGGCTTACATCAGCCCACCAGTGGGGTCCAGCAACACCACCACTGTCCCAGCTGTGGGTTGGCAGCATTTCACCACAGCTTTGCTTCTGAACATTTACACGTCATCTAAATGTGAGGTGACTGACAGATATTTTGCACACCTGCTGTCAGACTGTTATTGAAGTGAAACTAACACGTCTCTTCTCAGTGTGTGGGAGGTAGACTGAACATGGCTGTGTCCACTGGTTTATATATGTCTACATTAATGGTGCTGTTTCAGTGAAACCATCTGCTGACCTTAACATCAGTGTGAGACACCAGTTTAGTGAATGTGACAGCTGCAGGTGGCGTAGGCTCCTTTAAACCACACCATCATCATGTAGGCTCCTGACAACCTCTGACACTTTTAATTTGGGAACCGCGCTCCCATTCATGAATCATTTTTCATTCATTCTTTGGTTTTCCAGGTTTTTCCGAAGCTGAGTTTTCACCATGATAATAACCTTTGTGCCGTCACGTTGCTGTGACTGTGCAGGCCAGAGCTGAAGTGGTGAAAGCTTTCCACACTCCTTCCTGACACGACGGCTGCAGTTTGTGGTCAGAATGACCATGATAAGAAGATGTGTTCACACAGAGCTCTGACGAATCCCTGAGAATAATCACTGTTTGGTCTCTAATGAGAAAGCAGAAATGATGTTTGCCTCTGGTGACACGAGTATTTCAGGGACGACCGGGCGCGTAGGATTTTTTAATCACAAAAGTTTGAAGCTTAATCTTAAAGGTAGACACTATCTCTACTTTCAAGATTAGGCTTCAAACTTTCCTTTTTGCTAAAGCATATAGTTAGGGCTGGACCAGGTGACCCTGAATCCTCTCTTAGTTATGCTGCAATAGCTGCCGGGGATTCCCATGATGCACTGGGTGTCTCTTCTTCACTTACTATGTGTTAACAGACCTCTCTGCATTGAATCATATCTGTTATTAATCTCTGTCTCTCTTCCACAGCATGTAAATGGTAAATGGCCTGTATTTGCATAGCGCTTTTACTAGTCCCTAAGGACCCCAAAGCGCTTTACATATCCAGTCATCCACACATTCACACACTGGTGATGGCAGCTACATTGTAGCCACAGCCACCCTGGGGCGCACTGACAGAGGCGAGGCTGCCGGACACTGGCGCCACCGGGCCCTCTGACCACCACCAGTAGGCAACGGGTGAAGTATCTTGCCCAAGGACACAACGACCGAGACTGTCAGAGCCGGGGCTCGAACCGGCAACCTTCCGATTACAAGGCAAACTCCTAACTCTTGAGCCACGATCGCCCCATGTCTTTATCCCGTCTTCCTTCTCTCACTCCAACCAATCACAGCAGATGGCCGCCCCTCCCTGAGCCTGGTTCTGCTGGAGGTTTCTTCCTGTTAAAAGGGAGTTTTTCCTTCCCACTGTTGCCAAAGTGCTTGTTCATAGGGGGTCATATGATTGTTGGGTTTTTCTCTGTATCTATTATTGTAGGATCTACTGTACAGTATAAAGCGCCTTGAGGCGACTGTTGTTGTGATTTGATGCTGTGTAAATAAAATTGAAACTGAATTAAATTTATTATTTCAATTGATATTGATAATCATTTGTGGTTACCACATCAGGCCAATCACCCGCCAGGGTCACCAGAGTGAAGCTTTGACTGTACTGATTTCCTCGCGGGGTTTTGTTTGTTTTTGTTTATTTCCAAATAGCCTCCCTAAACTTTTGGATATACTTAAGGAATTTGGGACAATTTCTGGACACAAGGTGAATTTTGGGAAGAGCGGGGCAACTGGGGCATTTTCGTCTATTTTAGCACCTTGCCTCTTTTGCTGGGTGGTAGAATAAATATCATCAAGATGAGTATATTTCCTAAATTTCTGTATTTTTTCCAATGTCTTCCAATTTTTTAACCAAGTCTTTCTTTAACAATCTGAATAGTCAAATTTCTTCCTTCATTTGGAACAAAAGCCACCTAGTCTGAAACAGACCGTGGTGCACAGGGGGCTTAGCACTTTTTTTTGTTGTATTACTGGGCATCTAATATAAGGGATGATTGTACTGGGTAAAAGTTCATGGTAGTTAATTATCATGGGTAGCACTGGAGCAGTGAATCCTCCCTGCTGTCTTTGCTGTGTACCAAATTAGCCCTGGCAGGACCTGTCTCCAGCTTTACCACAAACCCTCTCGTCATCCATTCACTGACATTATGGTACCAGCTCAGAAGGCACTTTAAACAGGCTGAACTCTCCCTTATTGCACCACCGCATAGACATTGCCTGTTCTCTCCATCCTTAACGGACGAG